GCGTTATTTAGGTACACGTCATCCGACATCACCGACGAGTCGGAGGATTGAAACCTCGCGTACTCGGGGTTTGCGATCGTCACAACGCCAACATCCGAACCGAGCCCCTTGCCCGAATAGGAGAGCCTTCCTTGCTCGATCACGATCTCGTAGTCGCCGCCGTCGAACGTCGCCACGTTCGCTCCTGAGAAGCCTCGCTTGATGATGCTTCCTCCGACGTGGAACCCGTCGGACTCCTGCGAGGTGTTGTTGATCAGCCCACGGCGGAGGATGAGGTCGCCTACGACGACTAACTTGCCCGGGCCGTTGACCGACCCGCTAGTCATGTACATCGAGCCGGTAACCAGCGGCTCGTCAAGCAGAAGCCGCCCGTCGTCGAGTACGAGTTCCGAAACTTCGACCGGGATGTCGGTCGTGAGCACGCCTTGCGGCACGACTGCGCGGTAATTGACGCCTGGCTCGTTGTTGGGAACAGTTCCGAACGGACGCCAATTGAAGAATTGCGACCAGTAACCAGTCTGTCGAGGGTCGGTGATCTCTCCGCGCCAGACCGACTCGACCAGCTGTGATCTGGCGACTGAAGAAAGTGTAGAAAGAACAAGAAGCGTGCAAGCCAATTGAACGCACGCATGAATCGGTTTACTTAGGCGCATAAGCCGGTGCTTCGAAGGACGCTAAGAGTGGGGCGAGGACGGTCGATGTTAGCATACATAGAGGCGCCCAGGACCGCGCAACGAAGCGTGGCAATTTCGGCTCTTTTGACGGGCCATGCTTTGCTGCTAAATTGCCGAGGCTCGACAGTTCGACGACTCTTTTCGAAGTGTCCGAGTGTACATAGGCGTGAAACCTCTACGCATTTTCGGGCCGTTCTCGATCTCGCTGCGCTACGTCGCCCCTGACGGCTTAGTTCAACGAAGGATCATCCACCCTGACAAAAGGTCAAAGCACGGAGTCGGGTATCCGCCTGCCGTAACCGACCGAGTTCCCGAGCCAGTCGCAGCACCCTCACTCGAGGCCTGTCGCCTTCCCCGGTTCTATCTCCGGGCTCCTGCGGCTAATCTGTCCCCGTCGGCTACGCCGCTGGGCGCTCTGGCCGGTTTGCTCCTCTTCTTGCTCTGAGGCTCTCGGGATGGCTGGCCGTAACGCCCGGATTGGGTTGGTGCTGTTTATTGTTTACGCGGCGTGCTACGCGGCGTTTGTCTTCACCAGCGCCTTCGCGCCCGACTTGATGGACGCCAAACCCTTCGCGGGGCTCAACCTCGCCATCCTCAGCGGGTTCGGGTTGATCGTGCTCGCGCTGGTGCTCGCCCTCGTTTATGGCGTGATGGCCGACCGCGGGCCGCGCGACGGTTCAGGTCGTCCTGAGGGGGCGTCGCAATGATCTACGACTTCTCGCCGCTCGCGCTGGGTGTCTTCCTGGCGTTCGTCGCCGTGACGCTCGGGCTGAGCTTTTACTTGGGGCGTGGCGCCAAGTCCTCGGCCGGGTACTTCGCGGCCCACGGGCAGATCCCCTGGTTCGTGAACGGCGTCGCGTTCGCTGGCGACTACCTGTCGGCCGCGTCGTTCCTTGGCATCTGCGGGATGATCGCGTTCTATGGCTACGACGGCTTCCTCTATTCGATCGGTTACCTGGCGGGCTGGATCGTCGCGTTGTTCGTTGTCGCCGAGCCGATGCGGCGGCTGGGGCGTTACACGTTCGCCGACGCGCTAAACTCGAGCTTTCAATCGCGCGGCATCCGCATCGTCGCTGGCGTCAGCACGCTGGCGGTGAGCGTCTTTTACCTGATCCCGCAGATGGTCGGAGCGGGGGCGTTGGTGCAGCCGCTGCTGGGACTGCCGCATTGGCAAGGCGTGGTGCTGGTGGGCGCGATCGTGATCCTGATCGTTGTCACGGCGGGGATGGTCTCGACGACGTGGGTGCAGTTCCTGAAGGGCGCCCTGCTGGTGATCTTCAGCGCCGTCCTCTCGATCATCGTGCTCAGCCGCGGACTGACGACGGGGGGCTCTGTGAACAACGCAGTCGCCTTGCGGACGCTCGGCCCGCTGCCGACAGCGATTGCCGACGGCACGACCATCCCCGGGCTTCCCGACGAAACCGTCCTCGAACCCGCCGCCGGCTGGGTCGGCACGCCGTTCATCGTGACGCGCGACGAGGCGACCAGCCGGCTCTCGGTGTGGAAGCCGCGCACCGACGCCGACGGCGCCACGTACCTCGACGAGGCGCAGATCGTCACCACCACGCCCGAGGGCAAGACGCTTGTCGCCGGCTTGCCGAAGGGACGCGGCGAGGGAGAGGCCGAACTGCTGCCGGTCGGCAGCATCGCCCGTTTGCCGGGCGGCGTCGCCGAGACCGGGCCACTCGGTCCGCTGGAGTTCTTCCGCACGATCGGCGACAGCGACATCAAGCTGTGGCGTAACCAAACGATCGCCGAGGCCGACGGCGGCAAGAGCGTCGTTTACTACCCACAGGTGACGCCGGGCTCGAAGGTGCTGCGTCCCGGCGAGCACCCGACTTTCGCCGGCATCCGCAACGGCCGCTGGCTCGACAAGCTCGACTTCCTGTCGCTGATGCTCGCGCTGTTCGGCGGCACCGCGTCGCTGCCGCACATCTTAATCCGTTACTACACGGTCAAGGACGAGGCCGCCGCGCGGAAGAGCACGATCGTCGGCATCGGTTGCATCGGCTTCTTCTACGTGCTGACGCTGTATCTCGGCCTCGGCGCGATGACCAGCGGCGCGCTCGACCCGGTCGACACCAACATGGCGGCGCCGCTCTTGGCGCGGAGCGTCGGCGAGACACTCTTCGCGGTGATCTCGGCGATCGCGTTTACGACGGTGCTCGGCACCGTCAGCGGCTTGATCTTGGCCTCGGCAGGCGCCGTGACGCACGACCTGGTGGACAGCTTCCGTAGCGAGCCGCTCGACGACCGCACGAAGGTCACCGTCGCCAAGTTCGCGTCGGTCGCCGTCGGCCTGATCGCGGTGGCGCTGGGGATCCTCTTCAAGGGGATGAACGTCAGCTACCTGGTCGGCTGGGCGTTCAGCGTGGCGGCGTCGGCGAACCTGCCGGCGCTGGTGATGCTGCTCTTCTGGCCGCGGGTCACCAAGCAAGGGATCATCGCCGCGGTCGCGGTGGGGATGGTCAGTTCGCTGACCTGGATCCTGCTCTCCGCCGACACGTTCTCGAAGGTCTACGGCCTCCCCGCCGCCGACGCGCCGATGCCATTCAGCCAACCGGGCTTGGTGACGATCCCGCTGGGGTTCGCAACGCTGGTGGTCGTCTCCCTCCTCACCCAGCGAAAAAAAGAGAGCGTCTGAGCCGTGGGCGCAAGCCCTCGGTGGCCGCCGGGTACGCGCTTCCCACCGAGGGCTCGCGCCCCCGGCTCCGGCGTCTCGGTGGGGTTCGGCGGGGGCGAGACCTCTGGACATGCGTCCAGAAGCGACAGGAGGGCCCTAGGACGCGACTTTTTCGGTTCCTCGACATCTTCGTCGACCCCGAGGAGGAACGCACAGGCGACCCCTCTATGCGGCTCACAGAGGGCGCCGCGGAAAACCCCGTGTTTTCCAGGGGGCATCCAGCCTCAAGAGACGCCGGCTTTGGCGTGGTGGCGGCGGGACATCGGGGTCGTCGTCTCGATGGCTTCGGCGGGCGTCGGCTTGGCCCGCTCGTTGCGGGCGAGCAGCGCGAAGTAGCACGGCACCACCACCGTGCGGACAAAGAAGGTATCGAGCAGCACGCCCAGGGCCAGCGCGAAGCCGAGCTCGATCATGCCGCGGAGCGTGCCGGTGGCCATCGCGATGAAGGTCCCGGCCATGATGACGCCGCAGCTGGTGATGATGCCGCCCGTTTGGACGATCGCTCGCCGCAAGCCTTCACGGAGCCCGTGCGTGCGTTGCTCTTCATAGACGCGGGTCACCAAGTAGATGTTGTAGTCCTGACCGACCGCGATCAGGATCACGAACAAGAAGATCGGCACCTTCCAATCGAGGCCGCGGAACGTGTCGCCGTAGCACCACTCGAAGAACAGGCTCGTGGCGCCGAGGGTCACCCAATAGCTGACCAACACCGAGACGATCAGGAACGCGCACGTCATCGGTCGCCGAAGGATCACCAGCAGCACCATGTAGACCGCGGCGACCGTCAGCACCTGGATGCGGACGTTGTCGCTGTTCGTGATGAGCTCGAGATCACGCATGCCGGGCGTGGTGCCCACCAGCTCGAACGTGGCGCCGTACCACGGGTTGGGCGCGTCGTTGACGGTCTTCTGCTTGGCAAACTCGGCGAGCGCCGCTTGCATGGCGGGGATCTTGTCGCGGGCCGTCTTGCTGAACGGATTGTCCGAAAGGATCAAGGAGAGCTGCGTGACGCGACCCTCGTTGGGCGCCGTGTGCGAGACGAATGTGTCGGCGGTGATCGGGCTCCCCGCCGCCGCCAGATCACGGAACGCGGCGCCGCCGAGGAAGCTGCGGTTGCGTGGGTCGCCGCCCGTCGGCAGGTAGAGGCTGCGGACGTCGGCGACTTGACCCAGGTCGTGGAGCATCGAGTGCAGCGGCGCGATCGCGAACCTACCGTCGGCGGTCCGCAGGTCGAGCGGCTCGGCGCCCTCGCCCTTGCCCGCGACGACGTCGTCCGACAACTTGGCGACGACCTTCATCGGGGCGATCGTCCCTTCGTCGTAGTAGCGACCGATCGCCTCGGCGCCGACAACCGACACGCGGTCCGGAGCGAGGTCGGCCATCAAGTCGTGCGTGACGCCAACGTTCGCGCCGAAGTAAACCAGCGGAGCCGCCAGCCAGACCGACAACGCCAGGATGGTGGCGGGGCGGCGCATCACCATATCGGCGACCCAGCCCCAGACCCGCGCTTCGGCCTGTTCGCCCGAGTCGGTTCTCTCACGTTCGAGAAGCTTTCTGCCGTATGGCCAGAAAACCAGCGGCCCCAGCGCCCGCAACAGCGCCGGCGCGAAGGTGACGCTTGCGATGAGCGCGATGAACAGGCATACGGCGACGATCGGCCCGCTGC